TGACTCTTAACTTTTATAAAGAATATCTCTTTGGATTTGAGACTTTAGTCTTTGCAACTTTTCAGATCTTCTTTATGCACCAAGAGCTTGTAACATTCCAAAGAGAAAGGACAACTTGAAACCGCATCATATGACCCCTTTAAACATGGTGTCACGTGGATGGAAATATGCATGGAAATGATATGCAGATTACATCATGCATATTAAAACTAGGCATTGTAAGCTCCATATATGGCTATTTTGGGGAGGAGACGGGGTGGAGATTCATGTATGCACAATCTTCCGCTGACTGGGTATTACAAAGGGAATTTTGCGCAGCTTCTGGCGTACACATGGCTTTATAAATCTGAAAACTTTTGTACGTACGCAAAATCTAGCTTTTGTGCATATGCGCTCTAGGCATGACGAAGCGGATATCGTCCTCTCTTGGAAGGCCAAACAAAGTAGTTTCTCTTTCACAATGAAACACACAGTGCCTTCACGACATGGCGGCGGCAGCAACAATACTACAGCGAGAATAAAAGTTACGCCTTCTTTCTTTGCGTGCAAATTTGGGCGGCGTTATGCAAATCTTCCCACATCGTGACGTAGACATGTGGGGGCGTGTTAGAACGAGGCGTTTTAGGTAGGCATGGTTGACTCTTAACTTTTATAAAGAATATCTCTTTGGATTTGAGACTTTAGTCTTTGCAACTTTTCAGATCTTCTTTATGCACCAAGAGCTTGTAACATTCCAAAGAGAAAGGACAACTTGAAACCGCATCATATGACCCCTTTAAACATGGTGTCACGTGGATGGAAATATGCATGGAAATGATATGCAGATTACATCATGCATATTAAAACTAGGCATTGTAAGCTCCATATATGGCTATTTTGGGGAGGAGACGGGGTGGAGATGCACGTACGCACAATCTTCCGCTGACTAGGTATTACAAAGGGAATTTTGCGCAGGTTCTGGTATACGCATGGCTTTATAAATCTGAAAACTTTTGTACGTACGCAAAATCTAGCTTTTGTGCGTACGCACACATTTAGGATGAAATCTACGTAAAGTTTTATACATGAGGCCCCTGGCCTTTTCACGATCGTATAGCTATCCGATCAGACAAAACGCATGAAGTGACCAGGTTTAAACGACCCCATAGGGAGACACAAAATGTGCAGTGCTGGGGTACTTCATGGACAGGTCTGAAAACCACTGCTCTAACCAAATGTGACATTTATTGTTTTCCTCACAGTTTTTGCTGTTGCACTGTATATGTTGTGAATTATGAAAAAATACAAAAAATATTTTTAAAGCTTGAAAAAAGCTTGCAGAAAATATAGATTTTGTAGGAATCATCCTTAGTCTTGAACTTGGTAAATCATTCCGGGATGTATTCTAAAATTTTTGAATGTGGCGCCCTAGAAAATTTTCCGCCACTGACTAGAGATAACTGTTGAGTAATGAGGCTGATATCAACAGGTTGTTATTTATTAATGTTTATCTGTGATGTGTTTGTCAGGATCTGGAGAAGGTGCGTGTGACTAATGGGACAGAAGCTCAGGATCATGAATCCACTGATCAAACCTCTGACAGTAACGCTGGAGAACAGCAGATGCTGCAGACGCCGCTGAAGATGTGCTCCGTCAAACTGGTGGACTGCAGGAACCTGATAGAGAGCAGAGGAGAAGAAACCACCGCAGAGAAAGAACAGAGTAATGAGGAAGAGCAGGATGATTATTGGATTGATGATGATAAAGATGATGAGAATGATGGTAATGATGGGACAGAAGCTCAGGATTCAGTCTGGAGCGTCAGAGATCAGAGATCCAGAGACACACAGGACTCAGAGCTCAGCCTCACTTTACTCTGTTATACTGACGCTCAGGATCATGAATCCACTGATCAAACCTCTGACTGTAACGCTGGAGAACAGCAGATGCTGCAGACGCCGCTGAAGACGTGCTCCGTCAAACTGGTGGACTGCAGGAACCTGATAGAGAGCCGAGGAGAAGAAACCACCGCAGAGAAACAACAACACAGTGATGAGGATGAAGATCAGAATAAGGATGAGGATGATGATGATGATGATGAAGATCAGAATAAGGATGATGATGATGTTGATGAAGATCAGAGTGATGATGATGATCGGAATAAGGATGATGAAGATCAGAATGATGATGTTGATGATGATGACTTCGTTCCTTCAGGTATGTTTCTTCCTGTTGTTTCCATTAAAAGCAAATGTGATGATTGACGAGTGACAGGTTTTTAGCTGTACATGCCAAAGTGACATAATTATAAGTAGTATGTACAGTAAAGCGTGTGAGAGATTGACTCGGCTCTCAAAACATGGATTACATCTGTTGTAGGAGATGACTTGAAGGCTCTTTGTAAATAACTGTAACTCTGAAATCAGAAAACCGCTGAATGACTGAATTAAAATTGAATATGAGACTACGACTCCTGTCCATCATGTGCGTACCAGGACAGCTGCTGAAAGAGGTTTGAATAAACGATTAATTGAAGGTATTACGTGAATATCTTGAAAACCATAAATTTTGCCGCCGAGAGGCTGAGTAGAGGAAACTAACTTGTCCGACGCGCTTGTTGATGATGATCATGGATCCAAAGACTGCGTTTTGTAGATTTTGTAGATTTATTTGCATGAGAAACAAACAAGGTTGTGCATGCAATACATTCGAAATGGTGTCCAAAAGTCATGATAAATGGCATTAAACAGCGTTAGCTTTTAGCAGTCAGTAAAAATAAGACTTCCCCCATCACCCCCTCTCTACCCAACACACAGGTGAACAGATGATATATTCTTACTACTTCCACCACCACCAGGTGCCGCAGTTAACGCAAAAAATGTGTTCAAAATAAAAGAACTATACCTGGCGCTTACAGAAGGTTTTGGTGAGCTTTTGGACTGGAAATTGTCGACCCAATCTGGCAACACTGAAGATATCACAGTGTCGCATATCAGACTTTGTAAATATTTAAAGGGTTAGTTCACCCAAAAATGAAAATTAGCCCATAAATTACTTGCCCTCAAGGCATCCTAGGTGTATATGACTTTCTTCTTTCAGACGAATCCAGTCGGAGTTATATTAAAAATTGTCTTTGATCTTTCAAGCTGTTTAATGGCACTCAGCGGGTGTTGCAGTGCATCAGTCCAAAAGAAGTGAAATAAAAAGCGCCCATCCATAATAAAAAGTCTCACATAGCTCCGGGGGGTGAACAAAGGCCTCCTGTAGCGAATCAATATGTTTTTGTAAGAAAAATATCCATATTCAAAACGTAATAATCACTTTAATCTAGCTTGCGCCAACAGTTGTACACGGAAGCAGTTCCGGGCGGATGACGTATGAGTTCAGCGCTGCGCCAGTATTAATTTTGACAGGTATTTTTTATTTAGTCTTAGTCTTTATCTTAATAAGACGAAAATGCTTAATTAATAGTCTTAGTCACATTTTAGTCATTTGAGTCTTTCATAGTTTTAGTCAACGGAAAGTCATTGCATTTTTGTCAACTTTTAGTCAAACTGCAGTTACCAACATTTTTTTGGTAGCTGTTTTATATGTAGTCTTCAAACAAAAATAGTAATTAATTCTTCTCTCTTTAGACCAAATCAATTAAGCTTATGAGAAATTTGAATCAAGGATTGAATTTGGAAAAACTTGAATAAATTGACAATTTTCGTTTTTGTGTGAACTATCCTTTAACAGTAGTGAAAAGGGAGCAATTTATAAAAATTATAGTTGTTCATATATAATATATACAGTATAATATATATAATTATAATATTTATAATTTTTTGAAAAATAAGCAGAATAAGGCAATAAGACAAATATGAAAGAGATACAAATTAAACTCATTTTTCAGATACAGTAGGTTTACTTAACATATTTATTTATCATATTTTGTTGGTTAACATTAATTACACGGATAGGTACTTAATTATGAATGCTGTCCCTTTAAGACGGAAGTCATGTATGTAATACTGACACACGCTCAGTTTTCACCCACCTGTTTACGTTTACTTAATCCATAACCGACTGTATTTACGTGAGATACTCTACACGATAGACATTTGGACTGCTGTGTGTGTATTTGAGCACTGGGAACTGATCGCGCGCTGTATATGAGAACTGAAGAAGAGGAGCATGCGCGAGAGAGCACTTCTATCAGCGCGATTCCGCCTATCCCGCCTTCACTAACTTTAATTTGATCGACAACGAATTGTGACTCCCGGGAAAAACGGGACGTCTGGTCACCTTATCCCTACCCCTTCGGGTGCTGAGGCCCTATCAGCGCGATTCCGCCTATCCCGCCTTCACTAACTTTAATTTGATCGACAACGAATTGTGACTCCCGGGAAAAACGGGACGACTGGTCACCTTATCCCTACCCCTTCGGGTGCTGAGGCCTTTGTTTCAGATCGCTAGTTTGCATTTTGGTAGTCTATCCACCCACTGCGGCTGCCATACTGAGACTAGATATGCAAACGCCCCTCATCCGATTGCAATCCAATGACAGGGAAGCACATTTTGAAGGACAAGACAGTAGCCTATAGGATGTATTTTTAATGTCTGGTAGTCCTCAAATAACATTATAGTCCCGTCTCGTCTTGTTCACGAAGACGCGGCATAAATTTCGTCATAGTTTTTATCATCAGATATTAGTTTTAGCTCGTCAACGTCTCGTCTTAGTCACAGAAAAAATGTTCGTTAATGAATATTTTTCGTCTTCATTGATGAAATTAACACTGCGCTGCGCATGAGTCTCATGAAAACCAACGTTTGTTAACAGGAGCAAAGGAAGCAAAGTTTCCTTACTTTAGCAAAGGAAAACCAGTTCGTCTGATAGAAGAAAGTAATATACACCTAGGATGACTTGAGGGTGAGTAATTTATGGGCTAATTTTCATTTTTGGGTGAACTAACCTTTTAAATCACAGTCTTTGCAGTTTGACAACTGCATTTAGTTTTATTTTGACTGATCGTCCAGCTCTAGAAGTTAAAGAAGTAGTTAGATATTTATGCAAATGTTGTTCCTTTCAGATGACAACGCTGGTTCATCTTCTGAGGGAGAAACTGCCTCCACGTCCAAAGAGCGATGGACAGTGACGGACTGTGGAAAGACATTCAGCAAACACGGTCATTTAGTGAGACATAAGAAAAAACTCACAGAACAGAAAGAATTCACTTGCAAGAGATGCAACATCAGTTTTCCTACCTTCAAAGAGAGGAAACGTCATTCAAAAAAGCACGAAGTGAAGAAGGAGTTTCGCTGTGACCAGTGCGGGAAGGATTTTTTCACCACTCCTTATAATATGAAAGTTCATATGAAGACACACGAGGAAAAGTCTTTCCAGTGCAACGAATGTAACAAGTTTTTCCGCAGCATTAGTAATCTTTCTATTCATAAGAGGATCCACACGGGTGAAAAGCCATACACGTGCCCTCAATGCGAGAAGAGCTTCACCCAGAGAACGCATCTGAAGAACCATCTACTCATGCACACCAACGAGAGACCGCATCAGTGCCCTCACTGCGAGAAGAGCTACAACGTCAGTTCAGATCTAAAGAAACATGTACTCAAGCATAGCAATGAGAGGCCGCAAAACCGTTTACTCACGCACAGCAATGAGAGACTGCATCAGTGCCCTCACTGCGAGAAGAGCTTCAGTCTCAGATCGGCTCTGGAAAAACATGTACTCACGCACAGCAGTGAGAGGCCATACAAATGCAGTGAATGTGGAAAAACCTATAAAAACTCAACTTCTCTTAAGGCACACCAGAAAATACACTCTGACAAACCGTATCAGTGTTCACACTGTGAGAAACGTTTCCATCATTCGACTCACCGAAAAACCCATGAGAGGATTCACACCGGAGAGAAACCGTACCTGTGCTCCGACTGCGGGAAGAGCTTCGCTAGTTCATTTGCTTTCAAAGTTCATCAGAGAATTCACACAGGAGAAAGACCGTATCCCTGTAGTGACTGTGGGAAGAGTTTTTATAAGCTAAGTGGCTTAAAAGTGCACCGGAGGACTCATACAAGAGAAAAACCTTTTAAATGCTCACTTTGTGACAAGACTTTTGCTCAAGCTGGTTACCTGAAGATCCATGAACGAATGCATACTGGAGAGAAACCTTACTGCTGCTCCATCTGCGGCATGAGATTTGCTTTTAAATGGGGTTTTCAGATGCACCAGAAGAAACACGCTGCCCCAGAATCATAATGCATTCTGATGAAAGACCATATCAGTGTTCACACTGTGAGAAACGTTTCCATCATTCGACTCACCGAAAAACCCATGAGAGGATTCACACCGGAGAGAAACCGTACCTGTGCTCTGACTGCGGGAAGAGCTTTGCTAGTTCATTTTCGTACAGGATTCATCGGAGAGTTCACACAGGAGAAAGACCGTATTCCTGTAGTGATTGTGGGAAGAGTTTTTATAAGCCAAGTGACTTAAAAATACATCGGAGGACGCATACAGGAGAAAAACCTTTTAAATGCTCACATTGTGCCAAGACTTTTGCTCGAGCAAGTGCCAAGAATGTCCATGAGCGACATCATACAGGAGAGAAACCTTACCGCTGCTCCATCTGCGGCGAGAGATTCGCTTTTATATGGGGTTTTCAGACCCACCAGAAGAAACACGCTGCCCCAGAATCATAGTGAAGGAGTGGAATCCTGAAGACATCGCGACCTTCATAATGTATATATTTGTTTCTTCTTGAATAATTATTAATCAAAGTTACATTTATCCATGTTAGAAAATAAGTTGAATATGGCTTTAGTCTGCCTTTTTACTCTCTAAGAAGCTGCTCTCATTTTGTGCGTGTAGTGAACCATATTTGATCAGATTCAGGGCAGAGCCCGGCAACCTTGAAGTACAGATAAGTGTTCTCTGCATATGTGTGCGAGTGTTTGTATTTGCAGCTAGATGCGGAGACAGCCCTAGGAGGAAACCGTCATTTGCCGTCACCCTAATGTCCAGGGTATCCGATATACGTCTCTGGAGAGACCTATTGCGTCTGACCTCTGATCACTTGTCACCAAAATAATCACTAGAAGATATGCTTCAAGTTTTACGTCCATGTGTGGAGATTTTCTGTAGTGTATCTATGTTTCGACTAACCAGAATCTTGCTTACCTATGTATTGACGTAATTAGTGATCTCTGTTAGAGTATAATTACTGTTGTTTCAATTATGTAAGCAGAGCGGCCTACAAACTCCATCTTGAGTATTGAAGCCGACTTCTGCGGATGAAACTGTAAACTATTTTCTTCAGTAAATTTTTCTTCAAATGGCATCTCTGACTCCTGGTCTTCATTCAACACACCTGGTCCTTGGGGTTTAACTGTAAATTCCCCTACAATAGCTTCATCATTAATCAGTAATTAGTTTTACGTTGTGTAAAATAAAAAACACCTTGCGGTGTTACCGGAACATTATTTTATGGTTGTAAAAAAACAGTGTAATTGTGTAATTTAATTGTGGTGTAATGCAATTAAAGATGTAAGTTTGTGTTACTGTTTGTCTCGAGTAGCGTGTTTGTGGCCGACTTGCTTAATTTCTCCTTCTTGTAGACTAAAAACACTAAAACAGTAATATTGTGAATTATTATTCCAGTGCAAAATAACTGTTTTCTATTTGAAAACACATGACCCTACATAAATCATTCTAATATGCTGATGTGCTGCTAAAAAAATCTCTTATTGCAGTTGAAAAGTCTTGTGCTGCTTCATGAAGTGTGGAAAGTGGAAACTGACATTCACGAATCAACCAAAAGAGCATAGAACAACATTTCTTTCTATATACCGGTTTGGTGAACTCTGGGCCGGAGCGTCTTTTCTTCTGTTCAGCTCCATCGCTTGTACTGTTGGGGGCACTGTAACTTTCTTTTTTAGTTCACTGGTAAAACCACTGAAGAAAAAAATACTGGAGCGCCCAGACGGTAAGTGTTTAATCTGTTTACATTATGTTTATCTGTTTATTATTGTTCTGTCTCTGTGTTTTAATGAATTTCGTCGTCCGCTCGCCTTATGAAAAATCACCATGGTTTTTCACTACAGTAACCCTATTGTTTTACTACAGTAACCAAGTTTTGAGCATGATACTTGTAGTAGTGAACAATAGTTTTATGTAATATTAACACGATGGTTCATTTTCAATGCTACATGCTTGTACCCCCGGTTTCACAGACAGTCCTAGATTAAATGTAAGTCTGAGCTGTTTCAAATGAAAGAAACTTGCACTGACTGATCTTAAAATATATCAGTGCCTTTGTTTTGTCTCAAGATGCACACCAGTAATGTTTTTTTTTGTAAGGCACATTTATAAAAATTACTTAAATGTCCTAATTGAACTATGTCCTAATCCTGGTTTAGGCTAAGCCCTGTCTGTGAAACCGGCTTTTAAGGTTCTTACAGTTTAGGGAGAAATTAGTAGAAATTTGACATCTGAATATGCTTGTAATATTACATATTATAATATTTGATAATATTCCTGCTCTGTGCTGGCTCAATGTTGAAATGAAGCAAACATTCCTAAACGCATCTACATTTGAAATAAATATTTCTGTATGTTGTCTGAAATAAAATTGTATTATCTTTAATAACAGGTCAGCTCTATGTAGTTCAGTTTTGAGTTTAAATCAGTGTTTATTCATTATAAATGCGTCTTTAATAATCATGGTGTGTGTGTGTGTTCAGATGTTGAGCATGAAAGCGCAGGTGGATGTGGTCTGCTGTAAATCAGTAGGAACTGATCTGTCCATGCTGGATATTGAGGATTTCATCACAGAAATCTGTCAGCTGAAGAAAGAGGTGGCTTCACTGGAGGCAAAGCTGAGAGAAAGAGGAGACAAACTGAACAGAGAGGTTTGAGCAGCTCTTCATTTCATCCTTCAACTCAATCACCCAATAGGGCTTTTCTGGGTATTCATTCACAGACGTTTCACACTGTACATTCCTAAACCCCGGGTTAACGTTCTTATTTGCATGTTTGCGGTGTCAGTGTCACTGATTGGATGAACAGCAGGCAACCTGTTTACACGGCTTTTCCTGCGTCTTGCCAGTTATTAAAAAAAAATGTCACTTTATAGGTCTTTAGCCGTTTTAAGCCTCATGAGACACACAAAGGCAAGAAAACAAAGACAAACCTCCTCATCACTCCAGTTCACACGCTTTCCATCTTTTGACATTTCTTACTTTTCTCTCACCGGCTGCTGTTTACACGACTCGCGTTTCCTGTTACTGACGTGACATGAGCCTCGCTGCTCAAGTTCTGATTGGCTGTCTGTTGCCAAGCGTCCAGCAGCAACAAGCAAACACCGCTCCGTTTCACACTGAACAAACTTAGCACCGCAATGCAGGGTTAACACTGCAAATGTGGTGCTAACCCTGCTTCGGAGCAGGGTTTCATATTAACCCCGGTTAAAAAACGGTGCTAACACCGCTTTCAAATTTCAGGTGTGAAATGTTTCTTTACCCGGGGTTAAAAGCGGTGTATAGAACGACAGCGCAGTGTGAAAAGCCCTAATTAGACTTCTTTAACACCAAACTCTTATCAGCATCTCAGGTTAAGTCAACACCAAAATATGCTAACTAATCACCAATATAACCACCACTAGAGGTAACTGCTGAGTAATGAGGCTAATATCAACAGGTTGTTCTTTATTAGTGTTTATCTGTGATGTGTTTGTCAGGATGTGGAGCAGGTTTCAGTGCGTGTGACTGATGGGACAGAAGCTCAGGATTCAGTCTGGAGCGTCAGAGATCAGAGATCCAGAGACACACAGGACTCAGAGCTCAGCCTCACTTTACTCTGTTATACTGACGCTCAGGATCATGAATCCACTGATCAAACCTCTGACTGTAACGCTGGAGAACAGCAGATGCTGCAGACGCCGCTGAAGACGTGCTCCGTCAAACTGGTGGACTGCAGGAACCTGATAGAGAGCAGAGGAGAAGAAACCACCGCAGAGAAAGAACAACAACACAGTGATGAGGAAGAAGATCAGAACAAGGAAGAGGAGGATGATTATTGGATTGATGATGATAAAGATGATGAGAATGATGGTAATGATGGGACAGAAGCTCAGGATTCAGTCTGGAGCGTCAGAGATCAGAGATCCAGAGACACACAGGACTCAGAGCTCAGCCTCACTTTACTCTGTTATACTGACGCTCAGGATCATGAATCCACTGATCAAACCTCTGACTGTAACGCTGGAGAACAGCAGATGCTGCAGACGCCGCTGAAGATGTGCTCCGTCAAACTGGTGGACTGCAAGAACCTGATAGAGAGCAGAGGAGACGAAACCACCGCAGAGGAACAACAGAGTAATGAGCAGAACAATGAGAATGGGAATGATGATGATGGTGACTTTGTTCCTTCAGGTTTGTTTCTCCTTTTATGACCAGAATTTATGACCAGGTTTCTACTTTTTTTTTTTTAACCAGAGTTACCAAATTATTAATGCATTGTACAAATATTATGTATGTACAGACCTAAGTTTATGTGGAGCAGAATTTGTTGTGAATTCTGCCAATTTGAGACATTGAGAATTACAAATCATGAGCTGCACTCATGATAAAATATGTGTTGCCAGACTGAGTGAATTTCTGCCCAGTTGGGTGGTTTTGAATTTGATTGTGTGGGGTCAACATTGGATTGGGTGAGTGGAAAAAAATTGGGCAGTTTTGGGATCAGTTTTAACTAGGGCTGCACGATAAATCGCATGCAATATTTAATGCGCATCTTGTCAATAAAGCCGGTTCTGTAATCAGCGGTAAATCTCCATCACGTGCGGGCTTTCACATGGAGCAGCATTAACTACACAGAGCCGCGACCTCTATATAATTCGGCTCAGAGCGCCATTTCATCAGAATCTTTTGACTGACGTGACAGTCAACTATTGGTATGCAGAGATATAGCAAGGCAACTTACGCAACGCTCGTTCCCTTATCTCAGAGAAATTGGCTTGAGGACGACTCTGCAGTCGTTAGTCCAAACTCAATTCAGGAAGGACTGATGGCACTTGCAAGTCAGCCAATCGCTTTTCCAATGAAAAAGCCAAAAGGAGGGCAGTCTTAAGTGAAAAGGGCCACAGCTGATTGGAGCGGCTCAAAGGGAGAGCCCCGTAGGGCCCTGAGGACTATAGACAAGTCCCAAGTTGGCACAGTGTGAGGATGAGGCGGGTTCAATCTCCGAGCTCCCCTCAGAAATGTAACATTGTTTCTGCAGACTGACTGGCCAGCTTCGAGGGAATGATTCGCTGCCATCGCTGCCATGAGTGTGGACGGGGTGCGCTCCTTGTCCAACAACTCTTGTAGTAAGGTTAGCATTAGGGCTGGGCGATATGGGCAAAAATTCATAAGTGCACGTTTTTATCACGTGTAAAATTACTGATTAACATGGATAAAAGCAGCTCGTTTTTTTTACACCAACAATATACTATAGGCGTACTACTTACAGAACTCAGGTGACTTTTCAAACTTGATGTGCTGTTGTGGTAGGCCAGTTTCAAATCGCATATTTGGCACACTGCCTTTGTCTTGTCCTCACTCAATTTAAAGTGCTCCCACACAGCTGAGGTCTTCGGCATTTTTGTCTTTTCCAGATGAACTGAATCATGACGTTCACTCATGGTGAATGAGCGATTCATATTCAAGCGCGAATGAGAACCGTTTCGCGGGGGATGCCAGGTGTTCGAGAAAAAAAAAGAATATTCAAATATCAAAATTGAAAATCGAATGCCAACCACTGAACGAATATTCGAATAATCGAATATTCTGGTCCAGCCCTAGAAATTAGCCTACTGATTGCCACCATTGATGGACAAAAAATTTAATAATATTAAAAATATCTGTATGAGAGTATATTCTGCAGTTCTTCCCTGCTGTACCGAATATCTATACTTTTCAAGGTATCGTATCGAAGTTAGAAATTCAAGTATTGTGACAAAATAAATTTTGTAGGGTGCCACAAATTTGTTAAAATTTCCAAAGGGTACCGCAACTAAAAAAAGATTGGGAAACACTGTATTATATTATGTTATTATTATCATGTATGTATATTATCATGATTATTACATAATGCTTTTTTACAGTACAATAGTATGTATAATAACAATCTAAGATATATCTTTTAATGTGTTCAAATGTATATTTTTAATAATAAGTGCTGGGGGCATGGCTTGGGGTGTGGTCAGATTTTCCTGCTTTTTTGTCTTTAGCTGATCACATGCCTGAATGTTGTTATTGTTGTATTATTGTTTTGGTTTGTGCATAAGCGTGTCACTGTCTACTCAGAAAGTTTGCTTGTTGGACTAACTACGTTGCTTATTCTGATCGCTTATACTCTGGCCTTTTTCGTCTGGACTTCATTTGGCCTGTTCTTACTGATGGCATAAATGATGTGTGCTTCACAGGGAAGTATGTTTATTTCTTTTACTATTTCTTGCAAATATTTGGCGTTCTTTAATAATTCTAATTTGGGTAGAAACATTATTTTGTCATATTCGCTGATTTTCTTTTGCTGTATTTGCCTCGTTTTGATATACGTTTTGCTGTTGTATTGTTTACCTGGCAGGGAAATTGATTCATTTTTATAATTTTTATTTTGTCATTGTTGTTATTTACTTTTAAGGTGGTAAATGGTCCCTGGTTGTCATCACAACAGTATTCTATCACAGTCTTTTGGCAGTGAATATTTTGGTGAGCTTTTGGGCTGGAACTTATCAACCCAATCTGGCAACACTAGAAATATCACAGCGCTGCACATCAGACTTTGTGTTTATTTAAATCACAGCCTTTGCAGTTTGATAACAGTTTGATATGCACTAGATAATTTCAGTTTTATGTTGACCGATCATCCAGCTCTAGAATTTAAAGAAATAGTTAGATATTTTATGACCATTTTGTTCCTTTCAGATGACAAAGCTGGTTCGTCTTCTGAAACTGCATCTATATCCAAAGAACAAAAGACAAAGGAGAGTTTCTCCTGTGCCATCTGTGGAAAAACATTCAGCAAACAGTGTAATTTAACAAGACATGTCAGAAAGAAAAAACACACAGAACAGTTCACCTGCAAGATATGCAACATCAGCTTTCCTACCTTCAAAGAGAGAACACTTCATTCAAAGGAGCACAGCGTGAAGAAGGAGTTTCGCTGCGAACAGTGCGGGAAGGATCTTTTAACCACTCTTAATAATATGAGAGCTCATATAAAGCCACACAAAGAAAAGTCTCTTCAGTGCAACGAATGTAGCAAGTTTTTCCGAACCAAACAAGATCTTTCAAATCATAAGAGGATCCACACAGGTGAAAAACCATACAAGTGCCCTAACTGTGAGAAGAGCTTCAATCTCAGATCAGCTCTGAAGAGACATCTACTCACACACAGCAATGAGAGCCCACATCAGTGCCCTCACTGCGAGAAGAGCTTCAACCGGGGAACTCATTTGAAGAGACATCTACTCATGCATAGCCATGACAATCCGTATCAGTGCAGTGAATGTGGAAAACCTTTTGTAAACTCAGATTCTCTAAAGTTACACCAAAAAATGCATTCTGATGACAAACCGTATCAGTGTTTACACTGTGAGAAACGTTTCTGTCATCCGAGTCACATGAAAACCCATGAGAGGACTCACACCGGAGAGAAACCGTACCTGTGCTCCGACTGCGGGAAGAGCTTTGCTAGTTAATTTGCTTTCAAAGTTCATCAGAGAGGTCACACGGGAGAAAGACCGTATCCCTGTAGTGACTGTGGGAAGAGCTATTTGAAGGCAGGTGACTTAAAAATGCACCAGATGATTCATACAGGTGAAAAACCTTTTAAATGCTCGTATTGTGACAAGACTTTCACTCGTTTAGACGTCCTGAATGTCCATGAGCGACATCATACAGGAGAGAAACCTTTCTGCTGCTCCATCTGCGGTGAGAGATTTGCTTTGAAATGGGGGTTTAAGACGCACCAGAAGAAACACGCTGCTCAAAAATCATCATAGTTTCATCATGTAATTATTTTTAGGTTGTGTAAAAAAACACCATATACTAGTGCTACGGGAACATTGTTTTATGGTTGTAAAAAATAAACCCTAAAACAAGAATGTCTCTCGAACATTATTTACTGGGTAGAAATAAATTATTTGGATTAAATATTCACTGCAATGTGCAGATCAGTGTCTAATATTGGATTTTTGAACTGAGCTGGATGATGATGACATCACTGAATCAACAATGAACTGACTTTAGCTGAAAAATTGACTGTTTACTATTGTCCTCTTTTTAGAGCTGCTTTACAGCCAAGTTGATTTTTTTTGCATTATTGAAACATTATTCTGTTTAACACTGTAAAGCTGCTTTGATAAAATGTGAACTGTATAAAGTGCTACATAAAAAAAAATAAAGTGTGCATTTATGGGGATTTATACCTGTTCGTCCTTTCCAAGCCTCCATTACTAATTAGAAAACACTATTAAAAGCTCACTGTATTATGCAGAGTTGAGTATTATGAGAGAGTTTGACTCAGAGTGTGAATACCTGAATCTGATACAGCATTCATTCTTCAGCTCAATCTCATATTCACAATAAAACATTTGTTTGAATGTCTGCTGAGGAAAGCGATTTCTTTGTCGTACAATCCTTTCATCTGTTAAGGGTGATTTCCGATGACAGCGCTTCTCAGTGTTTGTTGGCTGCTTCTTACAAGCTGTTGTTGAAAGTAAAAATAACTTCCTTGTTTACAACCCTGTTTCAGTCTCTTTCAATATTAAAGTATTTACTGCTGACTCACTCATAAAAACAGTCTCCTGTCGCCATCTAATGGTGGAACAATGTATCTAAAATCAACATCTCAAACACACACCGTTTCTCAATACTATACAATGATTTAATACTATTATTATTTATATAAAACATTATTTATTGAATAAAATGTAATAAACAACAACCTCCATCATAAAAGTTGCTAAGCAATTCTGTCAAAAGTACAAAGGCAGCACTCTGAAATACAGCATTACAGTTTTATAGAGAATATAACGTTATAAGACTTTGCCCTCAGAGCAAACTATTTGCTGTGGAATAAATAACAGATAAATGAGACCAAAGCCTGCCTGTTATGGCTCGTTTGATCTGGCTTGCATTTCCACCGCCAACAGTACCTTACTTGATAGGCGTGGGGTATGCTGGAAAGTAGCGATCAATGCACACTCTGATGTAAACAAGCCCAACACGCATGCGCAGCATGGCAAAACGAGTGAAGAAGAGGCTTAATTTCCCTTGTAGCATGCACAAGTCGCGATTCTTAGTCAACCAATCAATGTTCTGTAGTGAGTCTAGCTCCACCCTTTAGGTATCCCAACAGAAGGGTCCAAAAATAGCGGTTTGGTACATCTGACAATGGAAATAGGAATAATTGTGTATCGTACTGTACTGAAAGGTACCGCTAGGTGGAACCGAGCCATTACATTTACCCAAAACCAATGGTGGCTGGCCAGTAGAAGGCGTTGTAGCACCACCCTCCCTGAGCCACATACATAAAATTATTATTTTTATTATAAATTGTATAAATTGATGTTTGTATGATACGATATTATAGGAAAATATACAGTTTTCATAAATGTCCCCTCTGTCTGTCAGTCTCAAGTTCAGCTCTGGGGCGATCAAGAAATCGCCATTAGGAGGTGGGTTTATTTAGCAGTTTAGTCAACTGCTGTAAACATGTTCAAGACATGACATAAAATTTAGCCAATCAACATCCTTAAATCTTGTCCAAAATGAGTGATTTCTCTATTGCCCCTAGTAAAGCCACTGCTGAAGTCAGGACTAGTCTGTGGAGGCTGAATGAAGCAAACCAGTATCTCACCAGTAAAGTTTTGATGGATGGCGATTGTAATCAACAGTAACCTACAGGAGTCGTACATTTTCAGACATATGTAAGTCTGTTATTATTAATACGCAAACAAAAAAAAAAAGCTCAACTGCTCACTCAACACATTCAGACATTTTTATTTACTTTTTTATTAGTGCTGTTCAGACGATTAATCGCATCCAAAATAAACGTTTTTGTTTATATATGTGTGTGTGTGTGTGTGTGTGTGTACTGCGATGTTTACTGAGGGGGCCTGGAATACGATTTTTACCGAGGGGGGCCTGAGTAAAAATGTTGTTCAGGGGGCCCACAAACCATAGCGGCACCACTGATTGTATGATATCTAAGTACCGTGAGAGCTATAGAGAGCACAGCAGACGGCTCCATGCTTTCAAAAGCAAAGAACAAAAAAACAGCCAAACCTGGTTATTTTAGACAATTTTTAACATCCTGGCCAGGACGTGTCCCCAGAAAATGGCACATCTTCTCACCTTAATTTGGGCGTCCGCCATGACACTCACTGTGAGAAATACTGTCTGCAAGCATATACAAATGGTTGGAATATCACAGCAGGAAAAGTAAAAGTTACTGAACTTTCTTGATATTTCCCTACAGCGGCGAATGAACTGGACGTCTCGCACATTCACAGAAAATGGCTTACTTCTGCAATGAAAAATAAGGTTGATAGATATCTTCCTCTGCGCTCCTCTGATTCTTCCCGCGTTTTCTCCGGTCTCCCACAGAAGGCGCGAACTCGCGTAATTCAAAAATTAACGGTCATTTCTATTTACTGACTATTTATTGACTAACTAACATTCGATTGTCTATGTCTTTAGTGAGTAATTTCGTAAAGATATAGTATATCCATCTCTTGGCAGCGCCACTGAAACAGAACGGCATTTTAATTAGAGAAATTAGGTTTGAATAAATGAGGTTTGGTGCAGCCCTCCACACAGCAGCGGGAGCGTCGTTTCTTCTCTTCTTCTCTATCGCTCGTCCCGTAGGAGGCGATCTGACGATCTTTAGTTCTCCGGTAAAACCACCGAAGAAAGAAAGGAGACCGAGCACTCAGACGGTAGGTGTTTAGTCTGGTTAACATTATTCATGTGTTTTAGATGTTTACTTGCATGCTATTCTTATTTTTCTGCCTCTGTGTTTTAATGAGCTTGAATGAAGCTTTTCCTCGCCCGCTCGTCTAATGAAAAAATAACGATCGTAACCATAACAAATGTCCGTTTTACTACATTGACCAAGTTTTAACCATGAGATTTGTAGTAAACAATAGCTTTTATATTAACAATTTTCAAAGCTAGATAAATGCGACAATATCTGAAACGTAACATCTCATATTTGATAATATTCCTGCTCTGTGTTGGCTCAATGTTGAATTGAAACAAACACTCCTGAAGACATCTACATCTGAGATAAATATTTCTGAATGTTCTCTAAAATAAAATGTTATTTTCTTCAATAACAAGTCAGTTCTAGGTATTTCAGCTCTTGTTCAGTCGTATGTAAACAATAATTTTGAGGTAAATCAGTGTCAGTTCATTATAAATGCGTCTTTAATAATCATGAAGTGTTTGTGTTCAGATGTTGAGCATGAAAGCGCAGGTGGATGTGGTCTGCTGTAAATCAGTAGGAACTGATCTGTCCATGCTGGATATTGAGGATTTCATCACAGAAATCTGTCAGCTGAAGAAAGAGGTGGCTTCACTGGAGGCAAAGCTGAGAGAAAGAGGAGACAAACTGAACAGAGAGGTTTGAGCAGCTCTTCATTTCATCCTTCAGCTCAGTCACTCAATGAGACTTCTTTCACAAAACAAACTCATTTCTTAGTTATCACCATCTCAAATTAAGTCAACACCAAAAATATGCGAACTACTCACCAATATAAGCACTAGAGGTAACTGCTGAGTAATGAGGCTAATATTAGCAGCTTGTTCTTTATTAGTGTTTATCTGTGATGTGTTTGTCAGGATGTGGAGCAGGTTTCAGTGCGTGTGACTGATGGGACAGAAGCTCAGGATTCAGTCTGGAGCGTCAGAGATCAGAGATCCAGAGACACACAGGACTCAGAGCTCAGCCTCACTTTACTCTGTTATACTGACGCTCAGGATCATGAATCCACTGATCAAACCTCTGACTGTAACGCTGGAGAACAGCAGATGCTGCAGACGCCGCTGAAGACGTGCTCCGTCAAACTGGTGGACTGCAGGAACCTGATAGAGAGCAGAGGAGAAGAAACCACCGCAGAGAAAGAACAACACCGTGATGAGGAAGAGGAGGGTGATGATGAGAATAATGGGGATGATGATGATGAAGATGATTATGCTGAGAATAATGATGATGTTGACGATGGTGACTTTGTTCCTTCAGGTATGTTTCTTCCTTTAATGACCAGATATACTGAATTGACATAATTCTTTTAAAATTGTTAAAATATTATGCATGTGTATTATGCATGTACAGTCCTAAATCCATGTGGAGCAGTATTTGTTGTGAATTCTGCCAATTTGATTTGAATTCTGCGGGAAATGTCATGCACCTTACCATAGCCTCCTGCTGCGAGCTTCAGTGTAAATATTGCGTCAAAATCAAATAAATTTGAGTGTGATTTAAACCCGGATGATTGTAACCACTCTAAGGTTGTCTGCCTTGGGAAAGCTAGCGTGTCTCCAACATAGTGATAACACTCGTTGCCTTCTCTCGTGCAGCTCAACCAGGTCTCGTCCCATTCGTCGATAATTGTGATATCACAAATCCCGGAAAAAATGCGTTGTCATCCAAACGAGTCGTTCGTTGTAGCTTTTGAAAAGTGATTTCTGTTAAATAAAATATCTCCTTTTGAAGTGGACTTTGAGCTTTGTAACTTTGCAGATCTTTTTTATGCTCAAACATTACAGACTAACTAAAGTTGAAAAAGTGAAAAAGCATAATAGGACCCCTTTAAATCACAGCCTTTGCAGTTTGACAACTGTAATAAGACATATCTCAATTTATTTTGGCTGATTGTTCCACTCAAAGTTATAGACAAAATTATATTGTGTAAATATTTTGTTTCTTTCAGATAAGAATGCTGATTCATCTTCTGATGGAGAAACTGCCTCTACATCCAAAGAGCAAAGAACAAAGAAGAGTTTCTCCTGTGCCACCTGTGGAAAAACATTCAGCAAACAGTGTCATTTAACAAGACATGCCAGAAAGAAAAAACACACAGAACAGAATAACTTCACCTGCAAGATATGCAACATCAGTTTTCCTACCTTCAAAGAGAAAACACTTCATTCAAAAGAGCACAGCGTGAAGAAGGAGTTTCGCTGCGAACAGTGCGGGAAGGATTTTTTCACCACTCTTAATAATATGAGAGCTCATATAAAGCCACACAAAGAAAAGTCTCTTCAGTGCAACGAATGTAGCAAGTTTTTCCGAACCAAACAAGATCTTTCAAATCATAAGAGGATCCACACAGGTGAAAAACCATACAAGTGCCCAGATCTTTCAAGTCATATGAGAATTCACACGGGTGAAAAACCATATCAGTGCCCTCACTGCGAGAAGAGCTTCAGCCAGGGATCTAATCTGAAGACACATCTACTCACGCACAGCAATGAGAATCCGTATCAGTGCAGTGAATGTGGAAAACCTTTTATAAGCTCAGCTTCTCTAAAGTTACACCAAAAAAAACACTTTGATAAACTGTATCAGTGCCCTCACTGCGAGATGAGCTTCAGTCTCAGATCAGATCTGATGAACCATCTACTCACACACAGCAATGAGAATCCCTATCAGTGCAGTGAATGTGGAAAACCTTTTATAAGCTCAGCTTCTCTAAAGTTACACCAAAAAATGCATTCTGATGACAAACCGTATCAGTGTTCACACTGTGAGAAAGGTTTCCATCTTTCAACTCACTGTAAAACCCATGAGAGGATTCACACCGGAGAGAAACCGTACCTAGGCAAATTGACAGCAATTAAATATGTCAGTGGTCGGCAGAAGAGACACTTTCCTTCTGCAAGAGAATAACAAGCTATTCCGGTCACATGTTGGTGACGTAGAGGGTTCTGCTCCCTGCCGGTGGAAACGGGAGCTAGTTCTGAACGAGTGCCACTCTTGGCTGAGCACCGGTTCCAGCTCCAGCATCGGCCTCAGCGATATGTGTGTGCGTGCTGTAACACTAACACCAAACCAGACTTAATTTGCCCCAATCAAAAGCATACACTGTTGGGATCCTTCCCTATCCCCTACATAGTGCACTAGGTGCCATTCACCATAATAATTCCGTGAACAAGTGACTGATTTCAGCTGCAGCTTCAGCATCTATTTATAGTGCAGGGGGCAGGACTTCAGATTCTAGAGAGCATTTGATTGGACAGATTAAGTTAGTTGAGAAGCTCAAGTGACATAAAAATGGTTGATATTGGTGGTAACAACAGACTGTAAGTTAATGCTTGCATCTTTTAAATATGAATTTGGTTGTTGTTTTGGAGCACACAAAGCTTATAGATAACCTTAAGGCTAACATATTCATACTTAATACCAAAAAACTTCAATTTTGATTTGGGACTTTAACAAATCAGTTTACAGCGCCTTGATTGTCTGTATGAACACAATGGGATTTAAGCCTGTATTACTAGTAACCATTCATAACACCTCAGCACAGCCTACAGTAAAGCAGTGTAATACAATTAAAAATGCAAGTTTACAGTGTTCTCTCTGTTGTGTTCTTTACTGCGCTTCTCTGGTTCTGCGCGCGCTTTCTCTTGTCCTGTCCTCCAGAAAGCCGCCAACTCGCGTAATTCAAAAATTAACGGTCATTTTGATTGACCGGCTGACTAACATGATCGATTACTTTATTTAATCATATGAAATGGATATATTATATACATCTCTTGGCAACGCCACTGAAATAGTGTTTTAGAAATAAAATAAATAAGGTTTGGTGCCGCCCTCCACACAGCAGCGGGAGCGTCGTTTCTTCTCTTCTTCTCTATCGCTCGTCCTGTAGGAGGCGATCTGACGATCTTTAGTTCTCCGGTAAAACCACCGAAGAAAGGAAGGAGACCGAGCACTCAGACGGTAAGTGTTACGCTATTAATGTGTTTTAGCTGTTTTATACGTGGATGTCGTTATTTTTCTAACGCTAGTGTAGAAATCTGACAATATCTGAAATATCTGAGGTATGTCCAGCTTTGTGCTGGCTCAATATTGAAACATCTGAAATAAACATATGTGATAATATTCTCATGTATTCTTCAATAACAAGTCAGTTCTGTGTAGTTCAGCTCTTGTTCAGTCGTATGTAAACAATCATTTTGAGGTTAAATCAGTGTCAGTTCATTATAAATGCGTCTTTAATAATCATGTGTGTGTGTTCAGATGTTGAGCATGAAAGCGCAGGTGGATGTGGTCTGCTGTAAATCAGTAGGAACTGATCTGTCCATGCTGGATATTGAGGATTTCATCACAGAAATCTGTCAGCTGAAGAAAGAGGTGGCTTCACTGGAGGCAAGAGAGAAGGACATTTTGACCACTAGACTGTCCCAATGGGGTCACTGGGAAGCTTACCAGATTGATTTTGGTCCAATATGTTCCAAGTTCAAAGAAAATCTTAGGGAGAATCATCAATCAATCTTCTTTTTCTTTCTTGTTGTCTTTTGACCACCTCTTGTACAGATAATAAATAATAGGATACTTAGAAATAGAAACAATTTCTGGAAAAATTATCTTTCAAACAAGTGGAATAAAAGCAAACATATGGTAAATTAATGCACATAACCAGTGCTCGAATTGTGTCAAAGCTCTTGGGGGGTCACCCTAACCAACAGCCCCCCCTTCACAAAAAAAAAAAAACACTTTATATGCATGATGCATATTTTTTGTTATCGTTGAGAAAACCTAATTCTAAGATAAAAGATTATTTTAGGATGATCAGTGAATTAGGTGTACCAATCACTAAGCAAGAAAGAAGAATTAAATATCTAGCCTAGGGTGTGCAATGTTGACAAAAAATGATATCTCAATATTTTCTGGGATTTTATCGATAATGATAATTTGACAATATTTTGTCACCGTGGACAGCTGACTCTTTACATTTTTGATATTCTGTGTGGTCAGTTCACAGCATTGATGGAAATTAATCTTTTCCAATAAGTTTAAATAGATTTTTACCTTTTATGGGCATTTTTACCTTTATAAAGCCATTTTTTCTAAAAGTGTACATCATCTTTTAAGTCAAATTCTTAAATTTACAAACAACAGAGCCGTAGTTCACTGACAAGTTACACAAAAAATGGCAGACGATTTTATTGCGTGATTATGAAATCGAAGAAATCGTTCGCGATAATGACAGCTGTTTGCATAGCTTCTCAGTGAACTACGGCTCTGTGAAGTAAACGGAGTTTCAGCGTGAGAGCGCCCTCTGGTCTTCGGATGGAGATTTACTGCTGATCACAGAACCGTGCTTCACTGAAAGATACGCATGACAATCGCAACTTCTGTCGAATCGTGATTTCGTTTCCATTTCGATTTATAATTCTAATCCTAATTCTAAGTGCATTTAATAAACTGAAACATGCAGTGAAAGAACACACTCTAAATGCATAGTGCACATTTAAAACTATCAGTGCACAATTTTCCACACCACAATCTGTCAAGCACACCTTACCAGCAAACATACACTCATTCACATCCTTCTCTTCACTCTCTGAGGCAGAAGTCTCCAAACTCATCCTTTCTACTGGCAAGAGCAGATTCCAAATCTTCAATACTTGTCTAGAGGTCTGCACAGGCTTTAAAGTGAAGCCCGAACCCGGCCCATACCCGAGATCGTCTGACCCGACCCGAGCGGCACAGTTAAATTTAGAGCCCGAACCCGAAATCTTTTTTTTTTTTTTTCCCACAACGAATAGCCAATTTAAAAAAATGCCGTATTTCACGATTGCATGCAACGGTCAGTAAGCAAATACATGTAAAGAAACAGAATCATTAAGGCTCGGCCAGTTCACGAGGCAAAAGAAAAAACACTTACCAGTTATGAAAGTTAAGTTTATGAACATCAGGTGCAGCAGTCGCATAAATTCTGCCGAGTTTTTGAATGGTTGTATACGACAAGAAGATAATTCTTCCATCGTGCAAATTATGGTCATTTTCGTCAGTTAAGGCTCGTTAGCGTTTGGCCTGCTTTAAATCAGACACAGAGATGCAGTGCGGTGAGATCGCATTTATTGGAATTAATTAGGCTAATTCATTTATTTGAATTAGCGCGCGAGAGAGAGAGAGAGAGAGATGAAAGCTGCGTGTGTGAACCTGCATCTGCTCTCTCTACAAGCAATGAGACTTAGTTCCTTCAAAAACAGCGATTTTACCCCCTCATTGCAGAGAAATATAACGTTGCGAGTCAGTAGCCTGTCAAAGATATTTTACTAATAAAAGTTACCGTGCTGTGTTGTCGTGTGCAATAATGTGTGTGTGTGCGTTCATCTATGAAAGCAGCGTAGCCTGCATATAGTTTTAGTTTAGCTATAAACCCGAGCCCGACCCGAACCCGAAGCTATTCATTAAACATTAACCCGAACCCGACCCGAAACCCGAATGCAGGTCTTCCAGCCAGTTCAATCAAACCTTTACAATTAATCCAGAACGCGGCAGCAAGATTAATTTTTAATGAGCTGAAAAGAATGCACATCACACCTCTGTTTATCAATTTGCACTGGCTACCAATAGCTGCTCGCATAAAATTCAAGGCATTATGTTTACCTACAAAACCACCACTGGCTCTGCACCCCTTTAACCAAATTAATTACTTCAGACTTATGTGCCCTCTAGAAGCTTGCGTTCTGCAAGTGACCAGCGCATTATTGTGCCATCCCAAAGAGGCACAAAATCACTTTTACTGACTTTTACATTAAATGCTCCCTCCTGGTGGAATGACCTGCCCAACTCAATCCGAGCATCTTCAAGAATCGGCTAAAACATATCTCTTCCATCTTTATTTGACCCTCTAACTGTAGCACTCTCTACTCTAAATCTATTCTTTAAAAAATGTAAATAATGTAAATAAGAGATTAATTGCACAGTGTAAAGGTTCTTTTACTTTTTATTAACTTTGTGAGATCGCGATGAACTACAGTAAGATGAGTGACAGCTTTCCAGTGATTGTAAGGGGAGCACCCATAGCACACTTTCTAGGCTATAATCCATTCAGAATTTGAATACATTCACTCACGGATTCACTCTCTGATTACCCAATATTGCCACTTGCTATTGTGTTGCGTATACTACATCAGTTAACTAAGTAAATGTGAAGCAGGTGCTTGCTCAGCGAAATATGTCTGTATAGCCTAGGCATGCTGCACGTGTTGACGCGCCCGTAAGTAAACAAATAAGTATAGCATTATATTTGCTTTCATCATGCAGCAAACGCAAAAAAAATATTTGTGGAAAAAAAAAAACTTTTAAAACATTTAACTGATAGTAATAATCGGTAAAAGGAGTGGTTGATTGCGATTTCACTTTTTTAACATTAGTTAGTGTGTAATGTTGCTGTTTGATCATAAACAATATCTGCAAAGTTACAACACTGAAAGTTCAATGCAAACGGAGATTGATGCCTTGTCCAAATACCCACACTGGCGGTCTTAGCCACTTGAGAGCGCGACAGGAAGTGCGCAAGACTGTCCCAGTTCTTAAAAACGCCAAAGCGCAGTGCCCTTAACACACACTAAATCCACACTATCTTGAATACCGCTATCCAGAGCGGTATTCGAGGTTTAGTGTATCCCATCATGCATCATGTTGTGGAAATAAATCGTGAGACTTTTTGCCGAGATCTCGTGAGAGGTCACAGAAACCTTTCCAATGTAAGTCAAGTCAAGTCTGCTTTATTGTCAATTCTTCCACATGTACAGCACATACACACAGAGAATTGAAATTGCGTTACTCTCAGACCCTTGGTGCATACAGATAACTAACAGTAGAACATAAATACAGATAGATACAGATTTAAATATAAAATACAACTATACAATTATACAAATAAGGTCAAATGTAAAAAAATATATAAAGCAGCACAAGGCGCATGGCAGATAGAGTGCAAACCAGTGAAGTAAACAACAGTGCAGATATAATGATTGTAGTGCAAAAGAGCTTATTCAGACTGATTAAAGTGACAGTGTGTGTGTTCAGCTTCAATAATGAACTGTGTTCCAATTATACACAGTGCTTGCACAGGTTCTGCATGATCCTCTTCACTAGTATTCTCTGGGTCTCTTTCGGGCTCAATATTGACTACGCCATTGTTTACAACACAACACCAGTGCACATGTGAGGGGCTTGATGTTTAGAGGCGCACTGGTGGTTTAGCGAATCACAACACACTGAGCCAGCTAACCAATCTGATCCCATTGTGTATCTGAGGGAGGTGCTTCATAAAACCAGGAAATCATCAGCGTGTTCAAAGGAGAAGGGACAGAGCGGTTTAGAATAAAGGTCAATTGTGAAAAATAATGTTTTTTTTTTTGTTTTTTTTAAACGAAGCATTAACACATGTTAGTCTGCACCCCATAAACACAATCAAGCTTAGAAAAAAAAAAAGTCAGCCACCCCTTTAGAATTCTTACTGTCGGTTAATGGTCAAACGGTCAATATGAGCATCCCTATCACACACGTTTGAGCTTCCGTGTTCAGTGTACAGGTACATCTCAAAAATTGCTTGAAATATTTCACTCTGTGTAATGAATCTATATATTATATGGGTTTCACTTTCTTTAATGAGTGACAAAAAATATTGACCTTTTTCATGATATTCTAATTTTTTGAGATGTACCTGTATTTGATGCACACTTTTGTAACAATCTCTCATTCATTTATCATTTACTTTTATGTGCTGTCAGTCTGAGATGTCGTTATCATAACACGTTGCTATGGGTTGCGTCTTGTAAAATACAAAATGTTTATATCAGCACAGCAATCCCATATTCATAATTATGACCACACAGTATGTTTTCATTGGTTAACATTGTAACATGTTTACATCTACCAAAGTCTTTATATAGTGTGTGTATAGAGAGATTTTTTTATTATATTATACATACATATTTTACTTTTATTCTCTGCAGAACTCTATACATTGGCTTGATTTTAATAACTTTAATGTATTTGAATACCAAACCAAACACTAGGAATATACAAGTATCGGATTGGTACTCGGTATCGGGAAATACTCAATATTCAATGACTGATCGGGGGCACAAAAACCTGATCGGGACATCCCTAATTACGATATTATCGCAGACGATATATATATATCGCACAACCCTCATGCAGACCTAAATTCATGTGGAGCAGCATTTGTTGTGAATTCTGCCAATTTGAGAACAGCTGCATGTGTATAAAAGATCAAAGCCTTTGTAGTTTGATAACCACACTTAGACATATCACAATTTCAATTTTGTTTTGACTGATTATTCAGCTCTAGAACTTATAGAAAAAGTTATTTTATGCCAATT